GGTCAATGCAGGGCCAAAATTCCTCACTACCATTCTGTAGTCTAAGTTCCTCGTTATTCTTTCACTGGATCCCTTTATTCCTTTGATGATGTCAACTATGGATCTACACATCTTTGGTGCAAAGTGTTCTGTTGCAATCTCTCACCATACATGCAAATAATTATTAAGTCTGTAGTATTGTAAAGAGATAATGTTATATTAAGCATGGTTATTTCCCATGCTTTTCTTTGTTTCTATGACTGTTTAAACTCTAGTGATTCAAGAACACATTCTTGAACAAAATGTTTTAAAATATAAAAATCTGCAGATTAAACATGGACACGCCCTTTATTTTCTGATCCTAATTACCTTCCCTTCTCCAGAAGTAACTACTGTAAACATGATATGTAATCATGTTATGTAATGTATGTCACGTAAATGTGCTGTTTCTAAGCCTTTGTATAGATGTATGGATAAACACTTAAAAAGTTTTTCAACTAAGTGTAATTTACTATGTGTAGTTTTCTGTATTTTTATGTAACAGTACAGTTTCAAAGTCATTTTTTGTGTATGTTGAAAAACATTTACTATTATTATATGTAACACAGGTCATAAAGGCAGTAACGATATAATTACTCTGTCACCCACTACTATATAGGTGGGTTGTTTCTGAGGGCAGACTACGGAAAATGCTACATACAAGTGTGTCTCCAAACAGCATTCCATATGCACCATAGGTATGTCTGAAGACCAAATTCCTAGAAATCTAATTGTGGGGTCAAACTCTATCTAGCTTTTAAAAGCTTTTTGAGGTATAACTCACAAGCCATAAAAGTTACCCATTTTAAATAAGTGTATTATGCTATTACTAAGCAGTTGTGCAACCATCACTGTTATTCTAAAACATTCATCGCTCCAAAGAAGAAACCGGGTGCCCATTGGCAGTCACTGTCCATCCCCGTCATACCGATCCCCAGCCTGAGGCAACCACTAATCTCCTTTCTCTCTCTACAGACGAATCTATTTACATCTATATCTATTCTGGGCCAGTATCAGACCAGTTAAATTACTATTGTTTGGAACTGTGTTTTGGTATCTGGTTGGCAAAATTCTTTTTTTTTTTTTTTTTTTTTGACAGGCAGAGTGGACAGTGAGAGAGAGACAGAGAGAAAGGTCTTCCTTTGCTGTTGGTTCACCCTCCAATGGCTGCCGCGGCCGGCGCGCTGCGGCCGGCGCACCGCGCTGATCCAATGGCAGGAGCCAGGTACTTCTCCTGGTCTCCCATAGGGTGCAGGGCCCAAGCACTTGGGCCATCCTCCACTGCACTCCTGGGCCACAGCAGAGAGCTGGCCTGGAAGAGGGGCAACTGGGACAGAACCGGCACCCCGACCAGGACTAGAACCCGGTGTGCTGGCGCCGCAAGGCAGAGGATTAGCCTAGTGAGCCGTGGCGCCGGCCAAAATTCTCTCTCACAAGTCTTATTTTGTAATGAAAACATCTCAGCTAATTCTTAAAAGCCCAATGAAAAACTGTAATTGCATCGTTCAATGACACCTCATACTGTAAGAAAAACAGGGGAGAAACACACAGTGGTTCAAATGGGAAGACCAGGGTGATGTCACATCCTTTGGCTCTGTTACCACTAGAAGAACAGGGACAGTGTTGTCCACTGGCAGCTCTCTTGTGCATCCTAGTGTCAGATTATGACCTCGGTTTCTCATCCCCACCAAAAGGAACCGCCTTGCAGGGCACATAGGCTTCTTGTCCTGTGTCAGCAAAAAATTAGGGTGGTCTGCGATGTCCTATTATAAGAAAACAAGGATGCTGTCCTAAGTGTCAGAGGCAATTATTTTATAAAAAAAACAATAAACTTGAAGGGTTTCCATTGGCCACACTTAATATTCTGAGCATCTAAAAAAGGAAATGAAAATTAAAATAAGTTGGGTTTATTTAGGACCACAGATTCATTATACTAGTCCCAAGGGAAAAAGGAGCTCCAATACAAAATAATGAAGACTGTAGGATATGCTTAAGGGGCTATTCACATGTGTAGGTATTTTATTCTATGCAGAATACATATTTCTATAAAGCACTGGCATGTGCATGTGTTTCTGGCTATACATACAAAAAACAGTAAAGATAACTAAATTATAAAATAAATATAAAAATATGAGGGTACTTCAAAAAGTTCAGGGGAATGGAATTTAAAGTTTTAGTGCAAAAAATTTGAAATTGATGCATAATTTTATTTCATAACATTTTCTATGAACTTTTTAAATGCCTCTTATGATATAAGAAAAAAGACTGATTACCACTAGTGATCACTTACAGAGGGGCTTCGAGAAGTTCATCGAAAGGCACATCTGATAATTCCATGTTTCTACAAACTTTCCGAAGCCCCACTGCATAGTAACAAAGTAGAGAAGCAGTTCAGTTGATCATACATGATAACGAATTAAAATACTTCTTAGTATGTCCAAAAGGATAATAAAGAGCCAACTATCTCAAGGAAAAGAACTTACCACACAGACTTGGTGACTCTCAGTCAACAAAATCTCAAAATTATCCTACCCATTTTATGGGAAATTTATAAGGCATACATAGGTTTTCAATAATGCTAATGGATAAAATCAATGTATCATAAAAGGACGACAAGTAAGTAATGCTGGCCATGCAAAATCAAAGTATATAGCATTTCTGGGAAGGACACCAAGTCTCAAAAATTAAAGTAAAATAAGTGGCAAGGTATCAAAAATTCCATGACAAAGAAAGTGAACGTTAATTAATTAAAAGGACTTAGCCTAAGGCCTGTGGCTCATGGCTGAATCGTGTGGACTGTGTGGTGGGCTCCATGTCCTAAGACGCAGCCAACAACTCATTGCTCCGTCAGTTAGTCTAGGAAGCATCCCTTTTCTAGGCTTGGTAAGATTGCAGTAAACCCAGGGAGTATAGTATAACTGAATCCCTAGGATAATACACAAGTAAAAATGGCCATAGTCTAGAAAAGTACTTTAAGTATAAAAATAATGGCCCTAAAGCTTAGCTTATAGAATAGGTCAAACAATCAAGTATATTAAAAATGTAGGTGTTTAGGTTGTTTGAAGAAAGTTAAATACTGTAATTAAATTCAAAACAAATGTTTAAAGGCTTGAGAAGAACTTCTGTTTCCTTCTGTACTTCCTAATTCAGTCAAAAAGCTACAGGCGTTGCCTGAGTGAGGAAACAGCTGAGGACGGTCGGAGGATTCACACAGGCAGACTGAGAAAATCAGTAAGCAGGGGAGGAGGGGCAGTCAGGTTTTCCACTGATGGGAAAGGGAGAATGGTAGATGGTGCTACTGAGTTAGAATTGGAAGTACTGATGTGAACTCATGACACTTGATAAATATAAACATGAAAACAAATATCAATGCAAATATATGAATATATATACTAACATGCATATACATACATTAATATATGTGTGTGTGTGTGTGTGTGTTATATTTTCAGGAAATCTTGGAGCAACAACATGCTAGTAGCAATTAACATATTTCCAATAAATAACCAAGTTCCTTTTTTTTTTTTTTTTTTTTTGACAGGCAGAGTGGATAGTGTGAGAGAGAGAGACAGAGAGAAAGGTCTTCCTTTTGCCGTTGGTTCACCCTCCAATGGCCGCTGCTGCTGGCGCGCTGCGGCCGGCGCATTGCGCTGATCTGAAGCCAGGAGCCAGGTGTTTCTCCTGGTCTCCCATGTGGGTGCAGGGCCCAAGCAATTGGGCCATCCTCCACTGCACTCCGGGCCATAGCAGAGAGCTGGCCTGGAAGAGGGGCAACCAGGACAGAATCCAGTGCCCCGACTGGGACTAGAACCCGGTGTGCTGGCGCCGCAAGGCGGAGGATTAGCCTATTGAGCCACGCGCCGGCCCCAAGTTCCTTTTTTTACCAGACTTCAGTTGGTAAACACCACTTCGCTGGAAAACCTAGGAGAAAATGAGAATATAACCAAAACATTCCCAACCGATAATCAGACTACGTTTTCTCACAAAGAAAAAAACTGAAATTGGGATTGTGAGACTAGTACCTAAATATTTTCATTACCCTAAGACTTTGGAAATAGAACACTTCATTTCTTATACCAGTAAATGTAAGCCTGGAAGTACTATTTTAATACTTTTTTGTAGCCATACTATAGCACTTTAAACATCACTGAACACTTTAGCTGCCTTATCTTCAAATTCATTACCATTACTATAACACACACACATACACACATGCATGTGCAACTGTGCAATTAAATGGACTGATACTCTCAAAATTGGGAAAGTGTCTGGTTATCCCAAGGATGCAGCTGGCTTTGGCCTGGGCCAGCCCTGGCCATTGTGGCCATTTGGGGAGTAACCAGTGAGTGAAAGATCTCTCTCTCTCTCAAAACTATGCCTTTCAAATAAGTTATTTCTTTAAAAAAAAAAAAATCTTTACTCTCCTGAGTATGATACTTGAGCTGGGTAACACCTTGTAGTGGGAAAATAAGCACATAGCAATGAAGACTGGAGCCTCCACACTATTTTAACACAACAGTGTAATGCAGTCATGTATGTAGCTTCCCGAAGTAAAATCTTTGAGGCTGGCATTATTTTAGCTGAGTAAACCAACAAATTTCATAATTACACTCCAGACATACCATATGAGGTCACTCACAAGCACTAAACAATGGTCCTTGTCCCAGTACATCCCACTCCCAGTGTTTTACCAAGCCACCTAAAATTCGGAACACGTATCTGAAAGGCTGATGGCTGATGCTATGGTGTTCTGTATTCTGTGCACAGTGTAGTATACACAGCCATTGGTATCTTAGCATCAATTTGTTTCAGGTAATAAATTGCCAGCCTTGGCTGCCACAGACAGGACATTACTGATTTGGAGGGAAGGCTGTCTTACCCGAGGGAGACTTTGGAGCCACCTAATCTTTGAACTGAATACAGCCCTCTCTGGTTCCAGACGCCCACCATCTTAAACAGAGCAGACAAGCATAGCCGTGTGGTCCAAGCATGTGGTGATTTTTATTAAGAATAACTTTGGTTCTAAGAATTCCACCTTCAATTCTGTTATACTTTCCATTAAAAACAATTATACAAGAGCAAATACAAAAAATATTAAATTATGAAAACAAATCCATTAAGGCTCCCTTTATATATATTATATACACTCAAACAAGTCAGGATTTTTCAGAGTAGAAGAATAAAGTCAACTGTTATAGCTTAGAAAGCAACACTACTTTACTACTTTGAGACTATAAAAGCACTGAACTATTTAAAGAGTGGAAAATGGAGCCATTTGTTTTCTGTCAAAAGGTGGCTCAAAGCACAAAACTGCTCACCGAGATGAGCCAGGGTCCTGGTGTCTGGGCTGCACAGTGTTAGGTGTGAAGGGAGACTGATCACCTCTTAAACCTGGGCTTTGAGCCCAGCTAATCGGCAACTTCAAAGCTTCTTCTCTACCTGTACACTCTGCTGTTCAGCCTAAGTCACCACCTGATGCTATTTACAAGTGTTCTTTTGGCCAGACCTTCGACTATGCCCTGCAGATCGTTCTGCAGGCTTCAGTGAGAGCAGGAGAGAAACGCTTTTCAAATGAACTTTCTCCCAGTGAAGAATGCATTCCTGCCAAGTTCTAGTAACAGAATTGGTAAAGGAGCCTGTCCAGTCCCTTGACAATTTTATGAAGTGGTAGAATTGTTTCAACGATTCAGATGTAAAGATTTAACGTTCAGTTAGGTAAAATGATATGGGGCAGTCCCAAATCTTCATTTTACAAACCATGTCATCAATCCATATAGACAAAGAACTCTGGTCAATGTGCAATCAGAAATGTACTTTCAAGATGATCTTGTACTTTCTTCTCTCAAAAGGAAGAATGGTAGAAAAAAATAGCTAATACTCCATTCTTCAAAAACAAACTACTATAGAGTAACATCTTAAGCATCTCATATTTTACTCAAATAATACTTCTTGATGAGACAAATAATCTATTTTCAGGTGTAATCAACTAACAAGTTCTCTAACTAGCAGTGTACCATCACTCATTTACTTTTATCTTGTTCACGTTAGGATTGAATATGGGCCTAATCGGCAGCTACTAAAACTAAACCATTCCCACAGAAAGCTAATTTCTACTATGCTAAATAAGGATTTAAAAGCTCTGCATCCAGCTTCCTATGAGTCTTTACAGGAAGTACAAGAAGACTCTTCAATGTGGAAATTACTGGCAGAACTGTCTCCTTGCAGAACACAGCTACGTCCCCAGAATTCCTCCTATAGCAGCAGTACACAGTTAACTGCAGGAGAACTCTGCTGTTACTTGTAACTTGGACTTCTTTTTGACTAGCATGCTAGCTAGAATGGTGAAACGGAACAGCCTCTCCCTTCACCTCGGTTTTTCCTGAGAGATGCGATATAGTAGTCATCAGTGCTGTCATTATCGACAGCATCTTCGTTGAGATAGTGGGAAAATAGTCTTTTTCACAAGAGGAAAAAAGACTAAGAAATAAACGATCATTAACCAAAAACTTCAAAGTTTGGATTCTAAAGTCACTCAAAATATACAAATGCTGCGTATCTTCCAAGGAAGGCTCTTTGAGTCCAACCTACACCTGTTGCACACTAAAGTATCTAAACAAGTCCTTATCACCCAGCTCTTATTTTCCCACACTGCTTTCAGAAGAAATGAAAAGATTTTGCATTTTGTACTTTTTGACAGCAAACCTGGGTTAAATGGACTAGTTCCATTCTCTAAAGGATTAAGAGATGGTTGCAGCAAATGGATTAGCTCAGCAAGAAATTTAAAAACAAAACTGAACCCTATTGCTATTGTTATCAAAGCAATATATGAATTTCTATGATGTGTCTTCTTGGAACTGCAATGTAGCACATATTACACAGACAACCAAAAGGAATCAAAACAAGATCAAGGTAGATGCTTACATGCCTTTCAACCTTCTCCCCCAGTTTCTGAATTTTAGTGCCAATAAACATAACTGCCATGCCCAACAGGAACAGTAAATTCTCTGGTATTAATTCTAACATAGGCAAAAGCAAATTAAGCAAGATAATTTGGGATTTTCCGAATAAAATTTTTAGATCTGTAAATACTGAAAATAACACATTAAATGCATTTCAAAGCAATCTAAATTATTTAATAGAATCCCAAAAGGAGAATTGAACATATTTACTTTAGCTCTAAAAAGAAAAAAGGCTCCATGCCCCACCAAACTTGGATTGGAAGAAAACCAAGTAGTGCAACTCTCGAGAATTTGTTCCAGTGTTCTCTTCTGTTTTTGCTTGTCTTGTTGTTTTACAGTCTCTGAACACAGGTCCATTATTCCAACTCATGTGCTGGTCAAAGTTCTTCATTTGGCGAATTGGAAATGCAACTGTCATAGATAAGTTATCCACTCAGATTGTAGGAAAACTAAACCTGAACCCCAAATTTTCTGCTGGCTGGAACTGTCTCCAGGGGCTCTGCCCTGAGAGCAGCGCTGAGGAGGCACCTACAGACACAGTTTTGTGCGGTGATGGGTGAGAATGTGCCGGGTCTTACCCAGCCTCAGCCTAGGACTCCTGGGCTTGGGCCACTTCCTGGCCTGTTCTTCTGAGATTGCCTTTCACTTTCACAAACTCTGGGGCATTTTCTTGCTCTTCTTGCAACTTCTGCTTCTCAAGTTCAAGCTAAATAAATTCAAAGACAGGGATGTTATTTACAAACTGAGAAACTTTTCAAAATGATCTGTTCTTTTCTGTAGTCCCTAACCACTTCTCGGAAGAAGAAATTCTTCCACTTAAAAGGGAAAAAAAGGTATGATCTGGGGTAATTCTGTACACAAGCAGCAACCACTGGCTGTTTCTGCAAACAATACACAGGGATGGTGAGAACTGAGTAGTCAAGGTTAGAAAGCAAAACCCTGAGATTAACAGTCGCTCTGAAGTATCAGATCACTTGGAGGCTGGTCCTCAACAGAATCCTTGCAGTTGCCTTGAACGCATCTAGTATCACTTGCTGACATTCTGTCTCATATTTTTCCTTCATGGTATAGGTAGAATAATCCTTTTCTCAAGTTCCCGGGACCAGAAGCATTTCAGATTCTGGAATATTTATATAGACTTTATTACCTGAGCAGCCCTAATCCAAAAATCCAAAATGCTCAAAAATTTCACTTTTTGAGCATCATCCTAGCACTCAATAAGTTTTGGATTTTGGATTTCTGAATAAGCATTCATATCTGACATGTCTTGTAAATTGTGCTTGCTCCAACATCTTTACTTCTTGGGACAAAAATGAAAACCGTCACCCCATCGCCCCTACCTGTTCCAATTTCTGCTGTCGTTTTAGTAGTTCTATTTCCAAGTCGGACTTTTTCTTCTGTGCTTCCTCTTCCTTCTGCTTTATTACTTGGTCTCGTTTTCTCTTTTCCATCACCTTCTGCAATTCTGGTTTATTCTGAGGGGCAAGACCCCTGAAAAAAAAAATCAGCCGACAGTAAACATGTTAATCTAATATGCGTATCTTTTATGAGAAATTTAACATAAACGTACTGGCCACATAAAAGAGGTCTACCTCTACTAAGTTAAACTGGCCAACGGGTAACACTAGTGCCCTCAGGAATGACCAGCATGAGAGAAAGGCAAGAGAATTTTCCAAAGAGTACATGAGATCTGTTCATTTGGTAACAGGGTATTGAGTACAAAAGGGGTGCAAGACACGGCTATGCAAAGGAGGGTAATGATGGTGGGCACTGGATGAGGAAAGCAGGGGACAGCTCGCTTCTGTGATGGGTGTGATGGCCGCCCACGCTGAAGATGGAGATGAAGATGCCCAGGACTTTGCCTGCAGTCATGGGGAGGCTTCCGAAGGTCTAGTCCCTGCTGACAAGCACTAAATGCAGGCTAGACAGAGGAACTGTCCTGTAAACCTCTCCCTGTTCTTCGTTGTTCAGATCTAAGAGAGAGCTCTGCACGGGCAGAGTTACGTCATTACAGAGGGGCACTCCTACCCCAGGGCCAGGCTTGTGCTCCTCCCGCTTCAATCGTTTCAGCGGCGTAGTCTGTAATTTACAACGCACAGCAGCCAGGCTTCAGGCAAGTTGTGCATTTCTGAGAAACATCAGGCTGACCTTTCCTCAAATGGGGAGAACCAAAACCCAATCAGGCCACTCACTAGCCACCCTCCATCCGCAGTGTTTCGGGGAAGCAGGTCTCACGTGGGATTTCTGTGAGCTAGGATTCACGGGACTTTTCTCTCTCTTCTGACATTTCCTTAGGATGTCTTCAGTGCAAGCTTTGCAGTGTGCCAGACTGAACCACTGAGCTCTTCCTGATTGTGTCCTCTAGTTACTTACTTCAACTAGTCTTCCCTAGCTGTTAGACTAACAATCAGTATCTTTGTTCTTTTAAAGACTTATTTATTTATTTGAAAGGCAGTTACAGAGAGGCAGAGGTAAAGAAAAGGAGAGAAGTCTTCCGTCAGCCGTTTCACTCCCCAAACAGCCGTAACAGCTGCAGCTGCGCCGATCCGAAGCCAGGAGCAAGGAGCCAGGAGCCAGGAGCCAGGAGCCAGGAGCCAGGAGCCAGGAGCTTCTGCTGGGTCTCCTACACAGGTGCAGGGGCCCAAGGACTTGGGCTATTTTCTACTGCTTTCCCAGGCCACAGCAGAGTGCTATGGAATGTCGGCACTACAGGTCGCAGCTTTACCCAATATGCCACAGTGCCAGCCCCACAATCAGTATCTCTGATGATAAAGAACACACCATCAAAATCACACATGAAGGTACTTCAGAAAGCTTGTAAAAAGTAAAATTAAAATGTAAGTTTATTTTGATGCGAAAATCGTTTGAAATTGATGCCGTTTTTGTGTAAAACAGGTTTTCTACGAACATTTTGAAAATTGCTTTTGTATGATTTTACAATTTTTTGCACCAAATTAAATTCACCTTTAAATTGCATTTTTCCCCACAAACTTCCTGAACAGCAGAATTTTTAGTTAAAAACTTAAATTTACAGGCTGGCATGTGGTACAGATGGTCAGGCTTCTGCCTACAGAGCTGGCATCCCACATAGCTGCTGGTTTGAGTCGGGGCTGCTCTACTTCTGATCCAGCTCTCTGCTGTGGCCTGGGAAAGCAGTTGGAGTTGGCCCAAGTGCTTGGGCCCCTGCACCCACATGGGAAACCTGAAAGAAGCTCCTGGATCCTGGCTTCTGCCTGGCCCAGCCTGGGCCATAGGCAGCCATTTGGGGAATGACCAACGGATGGAAGATCTCTCTCCCTCTTTCTCTGCCTTTCAAATAAATAAATCTTCATAACTGAAAATGAATCTTGATGCGAATGGAATGGAAGAGGGAGCGGGAGATGGGAGGGTTGCAGGTGGGAGGGAAGTTATGGGGGGAAAAAAGCCACTGTAATCCATAAGTTGTACTTTGGAAATTTATACTTATTAAATAAAAGTTAAAAAAAAGAGCAACATTTCTTACAAAAAAAAATCCTTAAAAAAATTAAGTTTAGTCAAAATTTCTGTGAAACAGAAAAGGCAAGTTCCTCCTGTGATTTAATTATGTTTTGTTTCACAGGTATTATAGCCAAAGGTTAAAAAGAAACCCTAGAAACCGGGGCAGGAAGCTTGTCTTGCAACATTAGACTTGGAGGGGGCCAGACCATTGGACAACAAAGAAATTAAGGCTACAAAAAAACAGTTGGAATCAGAGCTTATTTTGAACACACAAGGTACAAAGATGTGTTTGCGCTAGAGGGCCCCCGCCGTCTGCTCCTTCCTGCATCCACCCCCTCTACTCTTGGCTCTAAGAGCGAGGGTAGACTCCTCGCAGGGAGGCAGTCTGCTTTTCCAGAACTACACCTTTACTGTCACAGGTAAGTAAAACCTTCCTGGTTATCTGGCAATACCCCAAGTGACAGACCCCTTGTGTCCACTAACATTTCCAAGGCCACTGAGGAGTACAAAGATACACAGAACATTCTGGAAATTAAATCTTTCATCTGTACCATAAAATTTACTTATGAGTAATCTATTCAAAATAGAAGTGTCATTAACCACATGAAAATCTGACTTTAATAATCTACTCAATTTCATGATTATTACAAAACCATGGTATATGACCATCCAGACAGAAATAAGAGATTTAAATTTTATGATAAAGAATTATTATTAGTTCTCTGAATAACTTAAATTTCAAAGTTTTCTCTCTCTTTTTACTGGCGAAATTAACTTTATCTGTTATTAAACTCGGTGGATTATGCAAGACCTGCTGAACAAACTCTGATGTATGACACATAAAGCTGACATTTTATCGTAATATATGAATTGGTTTAACTATGATACATTATTCATCTTCTGTGCAAAGATTTCACACAATGGCAACATTAAGATAAAATATTTAAGGACAGAAAATTCAGGAAAATGGTGCTTATAATATGCTAATCTGCACTTAGAACAGTCAAGCAATTATAAATTTAATATTTTATCATAATGGATCTCTTAACTTTGCTGAATAAAAAAAGCCAAGCACTGCCCTTCTGTTTCTGTAACAGATCAGACTGCAGAGATGGTACACAGTTCTACATACTACAGCACTAGATACTACAGTAGCATCTCTTGCATGAGAACACTCGCTTTTCTTTAATCAATTCTGATTTATACCTGGAACAAGTACTTTCAATCCTTTTATGTCTGACGGATTATCAAATCCTGGTGGCCAAGACCAACAATGATTGCCAAATCTAATTAATGGTCATGGAGCTACCTGGGTGATGCCAATTTTAAAAATTATAAAACTAAAAAGTACTCTTCACTCCCTGCAAAAAGTCAGGTAACTTATCAATATATAGAAAAGAAAAAGTCAAAGCACATCCAAACCCTCCCCAGTAAAAATCACGAAGCCACCATTTACACTGTATTTTCTGTAACGGTGGCCCCCCAAATTGTACAAGCTGAAGCTCCTGCCATTAAGAACCCTTCTTATTCCTGAATGTACACATAACTGTTACTTACAGTGTGTTCTTCTATATTTTTTACACCTACAGAGATTTTCCTCATTCTTTGTGACATACCACAATTCACGCCACCAAAGTGTCACAACATTGCCACTTTTCTATGGACAGATATCTAGGTTATTGGCAATTGTTCACTATTAAAAAAAATGAGGTGGCCGGCGCCCCGGCTCAATAGGCTAATCCTCTGTCTTGTGGTGCCGGCACACCGGGTTCTAGTCCCGGTCGGGGCGCTGGATTCTGTCCCGGTTGCCCCTCTTCTTGGCCAGCTCTCTGCTGTGGCCAGGGAAGGCAGTGGAGGATGGCCCAAGTGCTTGGGCCCTGCACCCCATGGGAGACCAGGAGAAGCACCTGGCTCCTGCCTTCGGATCAGCGCGGTGCGTCGGCCACGGCAGCCATTGGAGGGTGAACCAACGGCAAAGGAAGACCTTTCTCTCTGTCTCTCTCTCTCACTGTCCACTCTGCCTGCCAAAAAAAAAAAAAAAAAAAAAAACCCAAAAACAAACAAAAAAAACCAAAAACAAAACAATGAGGTAAGGAACCCCTGCATTTACATCTGCCCTCTTGTTCAAGTGCTTCTGTTGGCTCTGCCCACAGAAGTAGAAACACTGGCTAAGCCATCTGCTTATTTGATGAGTACTACCAAACTGCCCTCTAAAAAGACTGCAATCATTTAAATTCTCATTACCAGGTAACTTTGAAAGGTATGTTTCACATTGCACAGAAACCATTAAAAACATTTGGGGCAGAGGCTGGCACTGTGGCGCAGAAAGTTAAAGCTCTGGCCTGAAATGCCAGCATCCCATATGGGCACCAGTTCTAGTCCCAGCTGCTCCACTTCCGATCCAGCTCTCTGCTATGGCCTGGGATAGCAGTAGAATATGGTCCAAGTCCTTGGGCCCCTGCACTCACGTGGGAGACCCAGAGGAAGCTCTTGGCTCCTGGCTTCGGATCTGCGCAGCTCTGGCCGTTGAGACCATCTGGGAAGTGAACCAGTGGATGGAAGACTTCTCTCTCTGTCTCTACCTCTCTCTGTAACTGTCTTTCAAATAAATAAAATAAATCTTTGAAAAAAAATATTTGGGGGCAGACTCAAAAAGCCTACATTCATGGTACCTCCACCTAAGATCCATGTGCACGTGAACTTATATATAAATGAAGCTGCCTCCTCACCTGGGGAGAACTCTCCAGCAGGAGGAGTCTGGGGCTCAAGACACCACAGAACACGCCGGACAGCCCACCTGCCCAAACTTGCAGTGGCCTGAATTTTTTTCTTGGGGTATAGGGACGGCTTGCATTTGGATTTCAGCCCTGAGTCCTTAATCTTGGACTCTGGTTTGCCCTGCCTCATCTGCAGTTTTGGCTTAGCCGATTTTACCTGCATAGACTCAAACACGAATACTTCTATCCTGTGTCACCAGAGCTTCCTGTGCCTTTTTCTGTGATGTACAGCAGCAG